TTTGACCCCACTAATATACATCAGAAAAAGGCCAATATATTGTTTAGGTAGAGAATATTAACACAAAGCTACCTTGTTAGATGATCAAACGTATAAACTGTTCGTCACAGAGCAGAAAAAGAAACTGGTTTTCTGAATGATATGTATATTGATTAAATGTAGTGCCTCTCTTTTCAATCATACTGTACAGTATGCCTCTGCACCAGTTGCTTTGAAACTACATCCTCCATGCTGCTATAGTACTGTTCTGGAAGTGTCTGCAGGTCATATCACATCACTTCATTGTTTTCATCATCATCATCACCTACATATTCAGTTATGTACATGTTACATATCTAAAGCAACTAATGTCCATAACACAGAGCATACTTCATGTTTATACACTGAAAAACCTACGTTAACATATTTCAGGATTGTGTTAAACAATCATGGGAAAAAAAATCAATGTGTTGACAGTATCAAAGTGCAAGTTGCGCCTGTTTATTCATCATGTGAAGCTTGATTGATGAGTGTGCCTCAGGTCAGCCAGCCTAGAGAGCACGCTCAGTGACAGTGGTGAGAACTCACTTAAATACGACTATCGAAAAGCATTACACTGTAACACAGAAGCACAAGATATTATTTCTTTAAGTGTTGAAAAATGAAGTATGTTTTTATTTTTGCTGCTGATGTAATCCATACAATACCTTACTCTACTTCACAAGGTACGTTTGGTATTTTTGAAACTGGTCCTGTATTAAATGAGGCTGCAACGTAACTATTTGCGTTATGTCAACTAAAAGTACTTGTTGTTGCTGCTGTTTTGCCGCTTTTTTTAAAAACTCTTTTTATTTAGTTATTTCAAGGTCCAGTCAGACAGCTTAATCACACTCACAACTCATAGCCTTGTATTTACAGGCCTTCTGTCGGACACAGTTACAGCAGAAAGTAACATGACAGTTAGTTACAGTGTGTAATACAGGAGCCAAAATGGACCTTCTTAAATACAGGTATGAACATAAAAAAAACTAACACAAAAAAATACACTCATGATACTCTCATCACTTTACAAACAATGATAAAAAATCTATTACAAATAAAATAACACAGGTTTAATGTACACCATCCAATTTTCCCATGTTTTCAAAAACTTGTCCTGTTGCAGTCTGATAGAAAAAGTAATCTCAGATTATTATTAAGTATTAAGTGTCTGACAGCATTGTGGAAAGGATCCCTACAGAGACAGACCTTTTTGTTTAAAAGTAAGATCTTTTTTGTTTAATCAGAAACAGCCTCAAAATCGCTATCACCAAACCCACCAGACTCCATTGAAATAAACAGTCATTTTAACATCATAAAATACACTTCATTCAGAAATAAATAAATAAAATACAACTCACAAACACCATCTCTTCACCAACTCTGATTTGGTTGAAATAAACCCTTAATTCACCCAGTTAGATGTGAAGATACGCTGGTTTTATACACTCTAAAAATACTTTTTATTTGATTGGAGTCTGGTGGGTTTGGTGAGGGTGATTGTGAGGCTGTTTCTGGTTGAATAATAGGATCTTCAGGGTGGCTGTGGGTCTTTAAAAAATCCTAAAATGTATTAAATAAATTAAAATTGGATGTGTTTTAAATGTTTTAGTCACATCACTGTGAGAATTTCCAGTGTTGGTGCTATGGGAAACATTTTAGCAGGAAGGAAACACTACTTCCACACAACACCTGTGCGTGCATAATGCCTCTACTTTGGCCCCTGTAATGCATTTCACTCATCCAGTGATTCTGCATTGTTAAATGAAAGCCTGCAGGCCAGCCTGAACATTATTATTTATATGCTTAGAGCAGTAAACATGGAGAGTATCACCAGTGTCATTTTACCTAATATATATTTTCAATTTATGTGCGTATATACGTGGCAAGTTTGTTCTTAAATTCCATTTAAAGTGGTATTAAATATGTCTTTAAAAGTCTTCAACATAGCTTATTTGTAACAGTAGATACCCTGATCTTACTCTAACAACAAGCTCTATCTCTGTAGGAATCCTTTCTATACCTTTTCAGACACCTAGAATAATAATCTGAGCCTGTCAGCGGCAAAAACAAACAGTTAGTGGATGTAAATTGATGGTGCAAACATGCCTTGAGTGGTTATATTGCAGCCTGTTTCATTGCTGGCCCAATTTTAAAGATGGTTGCTCCCATTAGTCACTTAGACAAAAATAAAAACATGGGGAAATAGAGATCAGCTTGAAAACCACCAGACTTATCCTCAAATCATTTTCCCGAGGTTGGAAAGTATTCTGTGTGTTGTGGACATATTGTAAAGTGATCCAATCAAAACATGTTACAACCCTACATGTGTGCACAACTGTCTGTAGTTGTCGCTAATCAAATAGTCTGTTAATATCCTTTTTTGTTGTGTAACACGTCCTGTGATTGATGTTATGATCAAAGTCTATGACAGACTTTTTGGCAGAGGCTGCAGTCGTATTTTATCCAGCTAGAGCATCATCATCATCATCGTTGAGGGAATCCCCTGCTGTTCTGTGCATTACACTGTCTCAAGCACTCATTTCTGTCACGTTTCCTTCAAAACCTAATCTTATACGTGAGCCCGGGACTGCTCCAGTCTGATCTCTGTGTTAAGACTATTCCTCTTGTTTTCATTGGGCCTTTTAATGTGCGTCATATTTGAGCCAACCAAAGTTTTCTTGGTGCAGTCACACACACACACACAAAAAAAAAAATCACACTGAATGTACATTGATATTTGAAAATACTTCTTCTGCGGGAGTGGTTATGTTGACCTGTCCTCTGTTTTCACAGTCTGGTTCCTTATTGATTGTAGTTTGGTTGCTATCAGGGAACCAAATGGAGGTTGTGGGATATACCTGTAATAATCTGTCCACTGATGTGTGAGGGAAGGTTGGTTCATTACGGCCCTGTTACTCGTCGCGTAGTGTACAGAGTAACGCTGTGAGTCACCTCTCTGTCACACTGTCACTCTTATTTCAATATCTGCCGTCACCATCCTGCTCTGACAGCCTTCACAAATTCTACTTTTTTTAATCCCTCCCCTCCCCTTTGAAGGAATATCATTTACATTTTTGTGCTTCCACATCTGATCTTTTTTTTTTTCTTTCTTCAAATTTCACTGGTACATTTCTTTTTCTTTCCCTTCTTGAAATTATTTTGCATTGTATATAAACATGATTGCTGTGAACAATGTATTATAAAGTTGCACCCATTTACAAACTCTTAAATGGGCAGTAGTTCAGTCAGTGTCTCTGAGTGTTGGAGTTTAGCGTCAAATGTTTGTGTACACTAAACACATTGTCATATATTAAATAAACATGGAAATTATGCAACACAAAGTCACGGACTTCTCTTTTTTTTGGCATTTGTTTTGTAACTGGTGATCAAGCATTTATTTATCATTTACAAGCACAAAGAAATACATAATCTTTTTTTTTTGCCATGTCTTTATTGAACATAAAATTTACAAGATAGGTTGAACACAGACATGAATCCTTATTTGTTTGACTTGTAAAAACGAAATATATTTAAGATTAAGACAAAAAAAAAGTTAATAAATTAAAAGTGCACACCAAATAATAATAATGATAACAATAATGAACTATTAATGATATTAGTAAAAAATAAAATAAATAATTAAAAATGATCTTCCATTTAAATTAAAGGTTTGTACATTCACACTATTAATTTGTACATCTTGCACCTCTAAGCAGTTGTTTTGCGGATTTTGAACTCATATTTTCAGGGATTTACAATTACATTTATGACAAAAATCATAAAAAATAGGGTTTTCATAAATTTGGCTTTGTGTTTGTAAAAGCAATTGGCTAGAGGAATAGGAACAATATTACTTATTAATTTGAAATTGATCTTTTTCACTGTGGGTAATACTTTTGTACTTACATTTTTGATTAAGTAGACTGTAGATAAAAACTTAAAAAAAACTTTATTTAGAACAAATCAACAGCACAAATTCTCATAGGAAAATAGAATCTTGCTTTCTTCCAAACAATATTAACAGAATTAAAACAAATTCTAGATAAAATCAAAATGGCAAGGCTATATTGCACTAAATAAAAAAATAGACACATATTTAAATAACAATAAAAAATAAACTAATAATACATGTATATAGTGACAATAATTGTTTATAAGGCAATATATTTTGAGACCCTTTCGGCAATTCACACAGTCGACTCATTATTTTTTTTATTACTCTTTTATTATTATGATTATTATTATTTTGGTTTGTTTTTAGTAACAGATGCTCAAATTACAGTGCAAGAGCAGTTCCAAAAAGTGTCAGGTTTCCATCCAGGCATTTGAAAATACTATTTTAAAAAGAAAAAGTATAAGTAAAAGGACAAAGATAAAAAAAAAAAAAAAAAAAATACGCAGAAAAATATTTAAATTAAATATCAGGATACTATTTCTTAAAGATATATTTTATTTTTTATATACTTTTTAATTAATTTCTAAACCAAGTTGATGAGGATTTGTGATTTTTTTTTTCTTACAAGAATGAAGATAATACTTACCCATAATTATGATGTTGACCATATCAGATCTGTAATGTGACTTAAACACATCCTACTTCCCAGTAGTTACCATGGTAGCAGAATCCATAGTTGCCATGTCCGCATGTCAGTGTATTTGGGACTGCTTATATTAAATTCCTCTTTATCTTTACTCCTCTAAGTTCTCATCGACTAGACTGGAGTTTTCTTCACCTTTCAGGTTCCCTGGCATGACAGCAATACTGACTACCCAGGACTTTTAAGATATGAACCGCTGTCACTATATATTATACAGTTATTTTAATCGTTCTCTGAGCTTCCCTTTATCACATCTGGCAACCCAGCGGAGCAGCGCCGCATCCTGTCATACAGACCGGGATTAGCTAGCTAATGATTTACACAGACTGCACTAAATCCACTCAGGACACCTTCACATCACTTCACAAGGTTTGTCACGAAGCAAAACTATTTCAGCCTGCCATATCATACGAAGGAGAACACGTGTGGCTCATTTTGACGGCTCGGAGGCGGATTAACAGCTTAATGTACGTTAATATCGCTAGCTAAATTAGTTAGCAGCACTAGCTAGCTTTAGCTAAAGTTAACAGAAGTTACCTACATTGAGTTAGCGTTAGCTAGCTGAATATCATCCCGGCTGAGGCAGACAGTGCCGGAGAGGAGACAGGTTGGTTTTTATTGTTCCAGTTTCCCCGTGTTGTGAGTCAGCAGTAACCGTAGTTCGTATCAGGAAGCCAGGCGAGTACTAAGCTGAGCTGTCAAACACCCCCGGTCACGCCTGTGCTGCTGACAGCGTGGATGGAACTGACAGAGTGATTTCGTAGAAGAGGTTTGTGTCATGTTAACACTAAAAATGGCTTCAATGTGTATTAAACCTGTGCAGTCTCTACGATACCCAGCTAATGACATCATGCGCGGTGATAGCACAGAGCAGATTTTAGGTGTAAATTACAGCAGCGGACAGTGCAGTTGAGCCAGTGACACCGTCTCAGTGGCGGACTCAGACTGTGTGAGGGGCAGGGGAAACAAAATAAAAAGGGCACCAGCAGAAAGTTTTCTAGCATCTATAGCAGCCTATATGGCACTGCATTATGCTTTCTCAATTTTAAGGGCACCCTAAAGGGCACTGTGGCACATTTCCTTAACTAGAAGTGCAACCTGGAGCGCACTTTAGCATGTTCTTTTCATTTACAGGGGAACTATACCCAATTTCAAAATTCACATTATTACTATAGAGTGTGCCAGGGCTGACGTCAAAACCCGGAAGTTTAGCATCGCGCTGGTTCCCGGAAGAGAAAGTGAATGTGATTTTTGCATTGCGTTTTGGATTATGTCAGAAAATAAGCTCTGTGGCTAACACAAGTTTATGATACTTACAGGTTTTGTTCAGCGAGATAATCTTCACATATGAACACCTTTCATACTGCATTTGAAGCTTAAATGCGATCGCCAGAAGTAAAAAGCTAACATTAGGCTTTAACGGACTACATAACTACTTCAAGGTCGCATGACTCTTGACGTCACCGCCACTAAGCTTTCAACTGATTTCTGCCGCTTTATTTTAAAAACATTGTATAATGGGGAAATCGGACTGTTTAAGCTAAATAAGAAGCTGTAATGGCAGACTGCCAGCACTCTCACCTGTTCGGGGGTAATGACGTTTAATGTCCCCGACAGGGTTTGTAGTCGTATTGAGCAACTTGTTAGCAACCGCCTTTTTAACGACACGTTAAAGCTTCAAAATTCACAAGTAGGGTATTTACTGACATGTTTTATGTCGTAGAACAAAACCTGAAACTCGCTTAAGATTTTGTTAACCACAGACCTTATTTGAGGCATTTTACCAAAATCCCATTCAAAAAACGTATTGACTTTTAGACGAGAGAACCGGAAGTGCTAAAAGCACTAACGGAGTTCCAGGTTTACTGGCACACTCTATTGTCTGGGACGTTCTAAAAATATTAGTAATCTAACAACTCTCTCTGAAATATAAAAACAAGAGTGCTAAACCTCAAATTCATTCATGTCATAGATTATTAAGTCTGGAGCTGTTTCATTTGCACTGAATTGGGAAACATGTTCTAGATGACACTCAGTACGTTTACATGCAGCTTGAGAAAATCGAATTATTGGCTTAGTACAACTGAAACTGGACTTTTGAATGCATGTTAACAGCTTAGTCCAACTGAAATTGGACTATCTATAGCTCAACTTACACACTGAGATAATTTGATTGAAAATCCAACTATTGCTGCATGTATCCATTTATCGTGGATAGGGTTGGGTTGGTATGAGAAAAAAAAAAAAACGGTCCGGTTTTTGTGAAAAACCACACCAAGTTGGCAATACCGGATATCCGCCCCTTGGGGGCGCAATTGACTCATTTAAAATTAAAAAACGACCATAGGACAACAGAGTGACAGTAACACGTTGTTTCTTTTATTCCTTAAAAATAAATTTGCAGGTTTAGCTTACTCAATCAGTGCAAACAAGGGTTGCCTCCTTTGTCTGGCTCAAAGCCAAAGTGTTGCCATATTGGTGCATTCTTTGATTTCTTTGAGACTAAATTGTCCGTCATTATCGAGTCCCCGTCACACAAACTCCAGGCTACAGTAGAGGCCTAGGCGCATGCGCACTCGCACCCCCTAGCTCAGTCCCCGCTCCACCCCCACCCCCCTCTCTCTCCTGCTCGCTGTGCGCTTGGCGAAGAGGCAGACACAGGTGCTCACAGACTCGGGCGTACTATAAGCGGAGCGGACTCAGCGAGGAATGTCCGCTGTCATTCGGGCTTCCATGTCCTGCGATGTGAAAAATACATGCTGAGCAGTCTTGTGTGACACTGGTACGTGGAGCGGAGTCCGCACGGTCGTAAAATCTGAGCTTCGCGCACACAGGGCTTGCGGACGTCCGCTTTTAGTCCGGGTGGACTTCTGCGGAGAATGTTTGGGCCTGACGTATGTGGTCCAGTCGGTCTCAAAAACAAAAAAACCCGGTCCAAGACGGAGTACCGAACCGAAATTGATATTACCGAGAACCGACCCAAATCGACCCCTAATCGTGGATTCCCACCAAAAGCCTCATGAGCATCATAAGCAGCCAGCAGCCATTCATTTTCAATGCACACCGGTGACGAAGGGCGTCGGGCATCGGCTGCAGTGAGTGGCGCAATGTCAGCAACCAGAGCATCAGGTAGAAGTTGAGAGAAGCTGAACTTTATGCAAATGAGCAACGCCGCCGCTGAAGCAGCAGCCAGTTGCAGACCGGGTTTGCAGGACTCTGTGGACCCAGACTTATTTACCACCAATTACATTTCTCAATGGTCCTACATGCCAACAGGAGAGTAAAATCATAATAATAAAAGACTGATAAAAGCTATATGACTTTGTTTATTAGCATTATTTTAATTGTGCAATGAAAGTCATGGATAATACATAGTGAAAACATAAATGATACTATATTTGTTCATCATTAAAAATGCACAGCCGGTCAGCCTAGATGGACACATCTGCAGCGCCCGGCCCCGCCCCTTTGGCCGCTGCAAGTGCCTGCTGGAGCTGGCAGTGTGAGTGATGTCAGAGCAACCAGAGCGCCCGCAGGTGACCATGAAGCTTTTGGTGAGAATCTTCAGTTAGTCCGAGTGGAGTCGGACTCGGCGTTCTGCGCGCGCACCACTTTTTCTTTGGCGGGCTTTCATCCGAAGAAGAAGGAGATGACGTAGCAGCAGTGCAGTAACTCCCGGAAAAACAAACAAACAAACACCATGGCGACCGAGAAGCAGAAGACGCACTTCTGGACGGACAAGAAAACTACATCAGCTACAGCTAAAGGAGCTAAACATTTTGAAGTTTATGGATGGTGGGAAAATGCGAAAAGTAGATTTATTTTAAAAAGTTTCTGAACAAGAACAAGAACTAGTTCAATACGCACTATATTCAGTCAGACATACGTGGTCAGAAAATCGATTTTGTCTTCTGCATATATACTCAGACAAGACGAGAAGTATTGACTTGACTGATTAGCCGAGCTATGAGCTTAGCTCGACTACTGCGTGCATGTAAACGTACAGACTGAGAGTGTCCAGGGGAATGTTTTGAGTATATGGGTTTATTTTCTGATTCAGAACTGGGTATAAAAAAGAAAATCAGCACTCTTTGAGTCTTCAATATCAGTCTCCTATTCATTATGTGTTGAACAGCTCCAGACTTTATAACTTATGACATCACAAGTTGAGACTTTTCTGGTTTCTGGCTTTGCGAGACAGTAGGTCATGTTCACAAATACTGATTGAACTTCCCGAGGCCATGGAAATAACATATTGGAATTCTTAATTTATGTTTTCTTTACTCTAATGCTGTGTTCCCACCAAACGCAATGAACGCGATTTACTCACGCGTAACGCGAGTAACGCGCCGCATAACGCGTGAGTTTGGACGCTGGACCATTTTGTTAATTCGCATTATCGCGTCAGTTGCGCGAGTAGCGAGCCCGCCCATTTTCACTAGATAACAACGTCTGGCCCGCCATTCTCTCCTCAACCATGGCTGAGATNCCCGCCATTCTCTCCTCAACCATGGCTGAGATAACCACCATCGCTGCTTTGTACCTGCTCTGGAAGTCCCAGATGCGTCGGAGGGCCAAACGCCGTTGTTTTTGGGTTCACCCTATCCTGCAGAAGCGCATCCAGCTCAGCGAGTTTCACAACCTCCTCCAGGAACTCCGTCTGGATGATAGCTGCTTTCAGCGGTGCTTCAGGCTGACTGGGGCCCAGTTTGAGGACCTGTTGGCGAGGGTTGGCGCCAGGATCTCCAGGCAGGACACCAGCTACAGGCGCTCCATTTCAGCTGCGGACCGCCTGTCCATCTGTCTCCGGTAGGGATGGGCATCAATTTTCGATTATCGATGATTGGTTGTTAAGGCTTTTGATCGATCACAAATAATTTTGATCAGTAGTCGCAGTGTTTCCCCTACAATGCCTGGCATAGGTCTGGCGAGCCGCCGTGCCAACGAAACCTACGAGACCCCCGCCGGACCTATGCCAGGCAAAAAATCAGAAACAGACGGAGGCTCTCATCACTCTCCAAAGCCTCGGGGGCTTCCCTTGAGGCCTCTGAAAACACTACGCCATTGAAAGATGGAGGTTTTGCTGAAAACTGAAGCCTGTAACTCTGGCTGGCAACGGTTGTAAACACCCAGGGGTGAACTGCACATGCGCGCCATTCTTCCTCTTTGGCCTGGGGGGTTGAAGCTCAAAACTGGGGCAGCTGTGCTCTCTTGCGCTGACGGTCTGCACTGCACTCTTTTGTTTTCTCTCTTTTGAAATACTCGCTTATCAATTAATCGATAATTGATCGTTAATTTTTTTGATGATCGAATAATGAATTTTGATCGTTTGCCCATCCCTAGTCTCCGGTGAGTAGCAGTTTATTGTTGTGTCAACAACTGGACATCAGGGCGTCAAGACGTCACTGGCGTCATGAATCTCAACGCTGATTTGCTTTCGTGGCACAGCGTCACGCAAATTTGCCTCAGAAGTTCAATATTTTCAACTTGAGCGATGAGGCGATGGACGCGAATTTCGTGGCTATCGCGCCACGCCTACGCGTCTATTGCGTTGCGCTAGACGTGTCCATTGTGCCGCCCGGCGCAAATTTGCGTCTAGTCACGTTTTTGCATTGACTTTGTATGTAATCTCGACACGCGAATTTGCGAATTGGCGTTTGGTGGGTACACAACATAAGGGCACCCTGGAGGCACTTGATCGTGATTTATCTACCAAAGGGTCATCCAAGCGGGCCGTTTTGCTATACTTGACCAGAATTTTTGCTGCAAATAATTATATATTGTTTGATTAGAACTCCATGAATGTAGGTGTGGCTGGAAATATTGTTTGACTGTATTGAATCTACACAGGCATCCTGCTAAATGACTTATTTCTCCCCAGGAGTGCTATGGCCAAACAGTCTGATGACATCACCTCAGTAAACAGCCTCACCCTCACAGGCCATACCTCTCAACATTATTCAGAAATGAATCTGGAAAGGTAGGAAGGTTTTGATTTTGGTTGGTCATGCGGTATCATGTTACAACAGCTGGTGTTTTCACCCTGTGAGTCTATGTGTGTGTGTATGCCATCATGGCAAACTTACTACTGAAGAGGCCGGGTATTTCGCCAGGTGTTTTTATGTCCATCTGTCTCTCGGTCTGTCTGTTTGCCTGTCTGTATGTAGACAGATATTTTTCAACGCAATAGTGTCACAACCATGCAAAATACAGACAGGTGTGTAGTTGAGATCAAAATGAAGGCCGAGCTGGAAGAAAATAAATAATGATAAGAATAAATTTGATTTGGTATAGCACCTTTTCCAGAAATAAAATTCACAAAGAGCTTCACAAAAGACCATTAAATCGCTGTATTGGGGCTGGAGTGATCCCATCACAATAGGTCTCTAGGTCACTCTGAATCTATTAGTGTTTAAATTAATGCAAAATTTAATTGATCCAATGACTTGCAAATGCATTGTGCCAAAAAGGTTTAAGGCAGTATGAAATGAGATGATAACATTTCTCTCCAATGTAATAAAAGGATCTACATGGACTACAATGCCACTACTCCACTGGAACCAGAAGTGATCCAGGCTATTTCTGAAGCCCTTCAGGATGCCTGGGGAAACCCGAGCAGCAATTATATAGCAGGTGAAGAATCCTTAAACCTTCATCTAAATGCCTATGAACAGATGTTGGAATTGGGAAGCAAAGAATGTATGCAAATTAATTTCCTTTACTGTCGGTGAGCTAATGCTGCTTTTCCATTATTTGCCTCCTCAGCACCAAACCCGTAATTTTGTATCTCAGCATGCCAACTATAAAAATTACTTATTGTTTAATCTTTTATTTCTAGGCGCTAAAGCCAAGGCAATAATTAATCATTCCAGAGAGAATGTGGCGAGAATGGTTGGAGGTAAAGCAGAGGACATCATTTTCACATCAGGTGGAACAGAGGTAATCACCATTGTTAGTTCGCTTGTTTTGCTCTTGTTCTGAAAAGCTACTTCACTTTTGTGGGAAGCTGTAAAATATTTAGTGCAAAATTGTGGTATCATGGATACAATGGCAGCTCATAGCAAACAAATCTTTCAGGCCAATAACCTGGTGCTCCACACTGCTATGGAGCACTTCAGGAGAAGCTGCAGGGCTGCGGAGCAAGGTGAAGGGCACCAGAATGGAAGCAATGGCCTTCCTCACATTATCACCTCCAATGTGGAACACGACTCGGTCAAACTAGTAGCGGAGCATCTACAGAAAGATGGCAAGGCAGGTAGGAGATCCTGTAGTTTTGTTCAGAATAATACCAGAGATTTTTTTATCAAACAATCACCCTTTATTTAAAAAGCAAATCTAAAGTAGCTTCCTTATGTTAACCTCCATATTTGTCACAGATGTGACATTTGTGCCTGTGTCTAAGGTGACAGCCCGCGTGGAGGTGGAGGATATCATTGCTGCGGTGCGTCCAAACACTTGTCTCATCTCAATCATGCTGGCTAACAATGAGACAGGAGTCATCATGGTAAGAAGGAAATAGAGGCTTAAATACCTGTCAGTCTCTCCTGTGTTCTCTTCTATCTCTTTATAGCACTGATGATAGAGAAATTTCACTTACATTATCCTAGTGGCTGAAAAATGAAGCCAACATGGAAGTGCCAAAAACTGCAGTTTCTCTAACGGCCACTTGAGGCTGACTCCAAAAGCAAGTCAATCTCCAGTCGACCTCCCATGTTAAAATGCCCAACTTTACAGTAGAAAAAAACATGTTTACAGCCTGGTACAAAAAACTAATTTCCCTTTTTATGACAAGGCTTAATGCTAAGTCATGCGTATCAAATATAAATTCCTAAGAACAATTCCAATGCAAAAACAAAAAGCTCTGTGAAGTATTTTTCCCTGTATGCTGAAACATCTTCCCCTCGTTAGCCACTCCAAGAGATCTGCCAGAGAATAAAATCCCTCAACAAGCAGCGCGATCAGCTCAGGATCCTGCTCCACACGGATGCTGCTCAGGCTCTGGGGAAAATCCGAGTCGATGCCTGTGAACTGGGAGTGGATTACCTGACCATCGTGGGACACAAGGTCAGGAATCTATTGTAAAAAATATCTCGATTTGGCATCGTAAAAGAAACATGTTTCGAAAGGTTTTGTGACATTTCTAGTTCTACGCCCCTCGGATTGGTGCTCTGTACGTGAACAGCCCTGGAGTGAGGACACCGTTGTATCCCATGCTGTTTGGAGGAGGACAGGAGAGAAACTTCAGACCAGGGTAAACACACTGCATTGTGTTTCTTGAGAAATCATCAAGTACAAAATAGACATGGAAAAACGGCCAAGATCTAAATAAAAAGAGTCTGTTTTCTCTTTTTCTGACTTTTACAGCACAGAAAACACACCAATGATTGCTGGTCTGGGAAAGGTATGTTTCCTACTTCATGTATGTGTTACTCAAATTTTTTACTAGCACTACATTTAAAAGTTTCATTCATTTTACTCTAAATGAGTTTTTATCTTCCTGATATAATGGTGCATTTTTGAGTGGAAAAACAAATGTCTTGTCAAAATGGTTAAGCAGTTGGTTGCAGATCTTTAAAAACAGACACCTGCAGCGACTTGTCCACAGTAATTGGCCTTAGTAGATCAACTGAGGAGGCTGCTAGCTGCTGTAAGGCCGACAAAAAGTACAAGCTTTACAAGTACACTTTCAAATGATACCACTTCTTCTCTGCCATGTTCCAAATATATCATTATTATAACCTCAGGTACCTCAAATGACTTGGCAGTGAAAATGAGTTAAAAGACAAATACCACTGATATTATTTCTTTACTTAGACATCATACATGTCATATTATGCTTCATTTATAGTGACTGGTTTATTATGTGTCTGTCAGGCTGCAGAACTGGTGACCTCTAATCTGTCAGATTATGAGGGCCACATGCGAAGTACCAAACTTTACTTGGAAGAGCGACTGAAGGTGAGTTTGGATCCATTCAGAGAGATCAAAAATGTTACATTCTGGGGATTTTTGTTCTTTGACTTTAAAATAATACCCTGCATTATCATTATTCTGTTGCTTCCCTCTTAAATTAAAAGCACCCATCAGTACGTTTTCCTTTTCAGGCCGTCTTTAAAGACAAGATCCACTTCAACAGCCATTACCCTGGCTCTGATATCCTCCCTAACACATGTAACGTGTCCATCCTGGGCCCAACATTACAAGGTGATGTCACGACTCTTCCGTCTCTGTCCTTTGTCTGTCTTGGCCAACCAGTTCAAAACAGTGTCCTCTAACCCTACATCAATGTCAGCAGAGACAGTTCATGACTTGCACAGGGCTATTTGTAAACTACAGAGGCTTTGAATGATTTATTTCCTTCTCTTGCTTTAGGCTGGAGGGTATTGTCCAACTGTAGGAGGCTGCTGGCCAGTGTTGGAGCTGCCTGCCACTCAGACAGTGGAAACAGGTAAAAGAGTCCCGCCTTTACCTGTTATTCTTTTGTCCAGAGAGCATATTGATCACAGTTACATAACTCCCCTGCACTGCACTGTGTCTGTCCATCAGGCCTTCCCATATCCTTCTGAGCTGTGGCGTCTCCTCAGAGGTGGCAGCCAATGCCTTGAGGTTGAGCGTGGGCAGAGGGACAACCAAAGCCGATGTGGATACAGTTGTGGAAGATCTGAGGGAAACTGTGCAGCTGCTGGAAGAAATGAACTGATGGGCTTCATGTGAATAAACAGTTAGGTCAAATAAGGACGTACAGAATTAAAAATACATCATCTGTACTTATTGTTACATTAAAGTGGAGAAAGACAACTTTTCAAGTCCCCCCCAAAGACAATAAGATCATGCTACTGTTACTTTGATACAGAGGTTGACTAGTATTGGTTTATCTGACCAGGCAGTAGGCTGGTTTGTTAATTACCTCTCTAAAAGGTCTCAATTGTTCCAATTTGATGGGCTCACCTCTAACTGACTGAACACCTGTAGGGTGTACCCCTGGGTTCTGTCTTAGGTCCGCTGTTATTTCCAGTCTATATTAATAGTATAGCATCAAAACATGGATGGTGCCAACTTTCATTTTTATGGGGATGATACAGTGATATATTAGGCCAGTTCCTCCATTACAGAGACTTTGGTAAAATTAAAGGCTGTATTTAATTTTATCCAGATTCAGTTTTCACAACTAAAGTTGATAAAACTAAGGTACGTATTTTTCAAATGCAAGGAAGAAGCCTGTGAAAACCAGTAATATTATTATTGCTCAGGGAAAGAAGTTAGAAATGGTCTCTTGTTACAGATATCTTGGTATCTGGCTTGATGACTTCCTGTCTTTTAAATCTCAGGTTGATACTCTTTTTAAAAAGCTGAGGTTGAAGTTTGGGTTGTATTTCAGAAACAAAACCTGTTTTTCCTTTGAGGCCAGAAAAAGATTGGTCTCTGCTACGTTTTTAACGCTTGTGGATTACAATGATCTGTTGTACATAAATGTATCTGTGCATTGCTTGCATATGATACTGCATACTATAGTGCTTTGAGATTTGTTATTGATTATAAAGCCTTCACTAATCGCTGTACGCTTTTTTCCCAGGGCTGGTTGACCTTTTTCGAGGCTCAGTCACTGATTTATGTTCATTTATAAAGCCATAAGGGGCAAACTCCCTTCATACATTTGCACTTCGATCTAACTGTAGTTAAAGTTTGAGATCTCAAGATTTAGTCTTGTCTGTTCCTAGTGCATGTACTGAACTCGGAAAGAAAGCTTTTAAAAGCCTTCAAAAAAGATTTCAAACTGAGAAGAATGATCTCTCTACTGGATTTTAAAGCTCTCATAAGTGCAAGGGTGAATGGATCATTTGGTACTTGTCATTGTGTGTAGGTATTTTAATATTTCTACATGTTACTGTATGTCCTCTGTGTTTTTTATTGTGGTTATTTTTGTTTGTAACTTTTTGTTATGCTGTTGTCTTGGCGAGGTCTCCCTTGAAATAGACGTCAGTGATCTCAGCGGGACTTACCAGGGTAAACATGGGTTAAATAAATTTAACAAAAGAAAAGGTCACTCTTCATTTTCCTCAGAACCAACAACTACAGTTCAATCAGGAGAGACTCGTTTTTAGTTTTGGAAAAGAAAATTTTTAATGACAAGTACACATGAGAATGAAAATGTGAATGCCTAGAATGACAGCTGAAAGCTGCAGAAGAGAGAACAGATGTAAAATCTCGTAGTGACGACCTGATTGGCTGATGGAGGTCGTGGCTAATTACAATAGGACAGCTAGAAGAGTGAACGCCCAGAGGCAGCAGATTGGAGGAAGCAGTGGGAGTAGGAGAGGGAGAATTGTGAATGAATGAGCACAGGAAGGTCTTCCTGATTGAATTTACGCTGAGCTTCATTTTACCTAACCTTTTGAAATATAAAATCATCATAACAGCAGTAACCACTGCTCAATTAGAAATGCTTCTGAAAAGAAAATATATTCTTTGTTTAACTTGTCAAACAGACAATGAATTATAGATGAGTGTTTCTGGTGATAGCGTTAGCTAACATTAGCAACATGGCTAAGGCTAGCTATGATTTCTAACGCTAGTGGCCAGTCAAACAATTTGTTTCTGGCTGGTACTGGCTTACTTGTAGCTCCTGGTTCATTTTCTGTCTGTTAGCATTAGCTAGTTGTAATGTTAGCATCATGGCTACCAGTAACAGACAGGCTACTTTCCAAGGCAAGAACTAGAGCTAGAAACCCTGATCTCAATGCTACGATAAAAACGAGTAAAACACCCAGTATTATTGATGAGTACGTTCTTGTTGTTGTACTTTAAAGAAAACTTCACCTGCATTTTGCTTTTATTGGACAGGACAGCCAAGTGTGAAAGGGGGAGAGAGAGAGAGGGGATGAGACGCAGCAAAGGGCCACAGGCTGGACAGCTGGAGCAACAGCCTTGTACATGGGGCACCTGCTCTATCCACTATTCCACCGAAGCCCCCAAAATGATCATTTGTAAATCAGTTGCTTTTTTCCTTGAATCCATGAAGAAAACTTTGTGTTTCCTGCATCCTTCCAAGGCTAATCAAAGAAGTCTTGGACATGCTCTATGACCCCATGGGAACTATGGGATATGACACATGCAATGTAACTGGAGTTGCAGTGTTGTAGGGTTACAGCAGATGGCGCTAGAAATAAAGGGATGGTGTCCACACAGGTGCTCCTTTGGTGTGCTTGGCCCGACAGAACTTAATGGGTACGTTCAAAGAGATGGTGGCCAACATACGGTAGTACATTTTTAAATTAAAAGCATTTGTTTTTGGTCTTTCATTAAGCATCTTTTCAGTAATCACAGAACTGTAATTCTCATCCATCTCTTTCTAAAGATATTTGGGGCTATGGATGCCTCAGTAAAAGAAATCAATCATCCTCATGTTCTATGCTAGGACAACAGCTATTGAGCCTTTCAGAAAGTGCAGACTAGATTTTACTGCATGTGTTGTACCCCAGTGATGTGACACCGTGGCATCTTCTCTTTTTAACCTCCTTGCATGCCTCCACAGTATGAGTAGAATCCAGAAAATGGATGTTTGGGAAGTTTGGAAATGGATCTTTCAATACAGTTATGCTGTTTTTAAATCTGCTTGTCTGTGACTTCAATTCATGGCATGAATTCTTCAAAAATTCAAGGTAAAATGCGGTGAGTAATTGATCTAGTGGTTATTCTGTGGGTGATTAGTAATGCAAAATGGATGACACTTCTTTTGTGCCGTAAATCAATACTTAATTGTTCCGGGAGATCATAACCTGGTGGCAGACAGAATGGCATAGTGAAAGTGACGCTTATAGGGAACCAGTCTAAATGCAGATGGTGTCATTATTTTATAGCCATTACATTGTGCAATCAACATTGATTTCATAATAACAAGTTACAGCAAAAACGTGTCTGTTGCCGCTTTAACTGATCATGTAAAATGGATGAAATATTTAATATGAATAATAAAAATGGAAGAACTTGAAGTGACCTGAGGGGTGATGTTATGGAGAGATGACTGTACTCAGCTTCCATCACGTCATGTGAGCAGCCAATCAGCTAATTGGCGTCAACATTTATGAGTGTTATTGACATCAAATATTAACACGCTTTTAATATTTTTCTAATCAGCCACAAAATATTACATGTAGATGATAATCTCGCAAATGTAACATCTGTTTAGTCTCCCCACTGAGATGAATTTTTAAAATAGTTGTAAAAAATAACACTCATTGTAATCCACCAAGTCTTGGCTCTGACGTCTCCCATTACTTAAGTTTCCGTGCCGCCTCAGCTCCCCCATCTCCAGTGAAGCGTTGGCGCGTGTGCCAGCATATGGTCACTGCCACACAAAGGGGAGCAGGAGGCCACGAGTTCTGCGCCTCCACCCGTCTTTCATTACCTTTCTATCTCACTGGCTCTGACCCCCTCCTCTCTCCCCAACAGCCGTGCTGGCCAGCTGGCTGCCGCTCAGGTGTCACTTTCCTGGCTCGGAAAGAGGCAATGAGTGCATGAGTTTTTGTTATTGAATGAGAGTTGAGCATGAGCGAGAAGGAGATGTTAACCTGGTGGGAGCCAAAGAGCTCCGGGGAGCTTGTTCTGCGTGCCATAACTTACTCATAGCAGCCAGGGATGGTGCTTCATCGGGCCATCCAGGCTGCTCGAGCAGGGGATCTTGCAACCCTGAGGGAACTGGCATCTTCTGGTTACCTCTCACCTGTCATCACCGATGCTCAAGGTGCAGGCCCGGTGCACCACGCAGCAAGGTGTGGACGTCTGGAGTGCCTGCAGTTCCTGGTGAGCGAGGTGGGGCTGGCAGCTGACGCCCGGGCCTTGAACAGAGCCACACCAGCACATGATGCAGCAGCTACTGGCCACATCCGGGAGCTGCAGTGGCTGATAGACCAGGGAGGCTGCAATGTTGAGGTAAGTTTATCACTGTGAACAATCTACACAGAGAGGGAGAGGGGGAAACCTACCCTGAGAGCTCAAGTGCCCTGGAGAGGTGCCACATGTCCAGCTTTCCCCTTAATTTCTACCAGCTCCTTTGTGTGAGTCTAAATTCTGGCGATGGCTTTAGATGGTCATCTAACTGATCCCAGGGTGAAGTTACATCACTGCAGTTGTAAAAGGTACAGTATGCTACCTTTTCAGATGTATTACCAGCTGATTACATCATATGGTGTCGACTTACTGGGTATCCATTAGTATTATGTAGCAAGTGTAATTATGTCCAGATGCTTGTGGGGAGCTCCCTCCAAACTTCGCTATTGGTCTGCCGACATGTTGTTTGCAGACTTCCTGCCTGAAATCAAAGAACACAATGTTTAAACTTGTCATTTCTTACAGATTATTAATGTCTTAATTAATGATCCTCATAAGAATCCCTTCTGCAGCTATGAGAAAGACATGCCCCTGTTTAATATCTCGCACCATATCCTTTGTGCACAAGTGACAAAACTCCTTTGACATGTGCTGATAATCAAGTGTTCATTACAATCATCTTTGTTAATATTTCCAGGATAGGGATGCTGCTGGTGCCACCGCGCTTCATCTCGCAGCCCGGTTCGGTTGTGTGGAGGTCATTAAGTGGCTGCTTTCTGTTGGAAGTGCAGCGGAGGTGGAGACAAACTGTGGAGCGGTACCTGCGCACTATGCTGCAGCCAATGGGGACCTCACCTGTTTAAAACTACTCGTTCAGCAGGCACCTGGGTGAGTTCACAGTTGATCCTAATAGCTCTTTAAAAGACTGTTTTGTTGTTGTTGTTGTTGTTGTTGTTGTTGTTGTTTTTTGTTTTTTTTTCAGAAATCAATATGACGAAGGTCACGTGAATATAGTAAGGTACGGTAAACTTTAATGTCCCTGAGGGGCAATTTGGGATACAGACAGTAGTCATGAGTACAACAAAACAGACAATACATGACACACAGTATCCAGTATCACACACTGACAATTAGTGGTCACTGCTGGTTAAGATAAGCGACAGCAGACGGTGACAAAGGACTATCTGTAACACCTAGTGCTACATGTAGGGAGGCATAACCTCCGCCCTGATGGAAGCGTCTATGGGCCCAATGATGAAGAAGCAGCTCTGATCATCCAGGTAATTTCATACAGCAGAAACAGAGCTTTTCTGGCTTCATGAGCCACTGAGCAACTGTCCAACTGAACGGGGTCCTGCCTTCAATGCTGTATCCAGCAGTGACTGTTACAAAGATGAAGACATGACAGTTCCCCAAAAGTGAAGCCAAAACCTCTTGATCGCCCCCTGGTGATCGGCTGCAGTATAGGTCATAAATAAACCCCACCCCCTCCAAGTTAGCAGATGGGACATGGCCCAATTCATATTACACGTTAAATACATGTTAAAGTGTTATTTGATGCTCTAAAAAGGGAATGTGACATCATGATTGACAGCTGTGTGTGTCACTGGTGTGTTTGCGATCAATGGCACTTCTCATGATTAGGTCATTAGGTGTACGGGCAGGAACTTGATACTATGGCTCCACTTCCCAGTCGCTACTGCGCAGACTCTGACTCCAAATGACAAACATGGCAGCTGGGTGCCTGGGATAGTTTGGCTTCGATGGGCAAAATGGAGACCTGTTGTCCATCTTTATATGCAGTCTGTGGTTGAGCCACAATATTTCTGTGTCACCTGTAGCAACAACAAGGACAACAACATCGACTAAAACTCTTTAGAGATTCTCAAACTTATGGAACACAAATAAAACCATCCAATTTAACGTCACTGATGATTTAACAAAACTTTGCTTTAACTCATGAAAACTACATTTGTTTCTTTTGTTGCCACCAGTCTTGTGTTTGACACATCTCCAATCACTTATTCTGTTAAATCACATTTGCAGATGATGATTGTATATTCTCAAGTGACCAGACACTGTTGTTACATTACTCATGTTCAAGTAAAAGGATTTGTGGCCTTTAGTGACAGGTGAACATGTGTAATGTTAATCCTCCCTCCTCCATGAATCCCTTCTCTCCTCCGTCCCCTTAACCTGAGACAGTGACACGTACTAAGGACCAGATCAAGATGTGCTGCACTTCCTGCTTCATTTCCTTGTTACAGGAGAGTTCGACTGTAATTAGCATGACGCATGGCGGGGTCAGACCATCACGTGTGATAACCCGTGAATAATACATGCCTGGACACTGTTAGTCACATGCCAGCCTTGCGGTTGTTGAAGTACAGGACATACGTATGTCAGTGTAAATGAAGCTGAGCTGTGTTCACAGGCTTGACAGATTACCTGAATAAAGGTCATGACCCTTGGTTTATACATGTCAATATATCCTGTCCTGTGTTTTTGGAGTGTAAGATTCCTGACTGGATCCTTAGAGCAAATGAGATGCAAACTAACATCTTTATACTGATTTTGGTTTTGTTTTAGAATTGATTTCAACAATAATAGTAATCATATCTAGAGAATCTAGATCATCTGTCATTACTATATTCAATTATGTGATGGAGTGTAATAAAACACAAACCAGCACATTTCCAATCGATAAAGTCTACAAACCAAATATTGGCTGACTGTTTTTTTGGGGGGTTTTATGGAGGACGAAAAATGACTTTAGTGTAAATAATTATTAAATAAATGTATAAATAAATAAACACATAAATAAATTTATAAAAAATACTGAATTAAGTAAAAACAGGAAATTAAAAAATGAATACATGAAACATTTTGGAATAAATAAATATATGAATATAGAAATATATAAAAAGAATAAATAAATAAATGTTACATTAAATTAGGAAATAACAGATAAATTAATAAGTACCGAAATAAGTAAATACAAGCATATATAAGTAAATACATACATTTAAAAATAAATGTATGAAAAAAACAGGAATAAATAAATATGGAAATAAATAAAAGAAAGAAATGTTTAATTAAATATGGAAATAATAGATAAATAAGTACAGAAATAAGTAAATACAGGAAAATATAAATAAATACAGTAATATAAAAATAAAGGAATAAATAAATATGGAAATAAGTAAAAGAAAAAATAAATAAATGTTAAATTAGATATGGAAATAATAGATAAATTAGTAAGTACTGAAATATTTTGATACAGGAATATATAAATAAATAGAAAATTTTAAAAATACAAGGATAAATAAGTAAATAAATATGGAAATAAATTAAAGAATAAATAAATGTTAAATTAAACATGGAAATAATAGATAAATAAATAAGTACTGACATATTTTGATACAGGAATATATAAATAAATAGAAAATTTTAAAAATACAAGGATAAATAAGTAAATAAATATGGAAATAAATTTAAGAATAAATACATGTTAAATTAAACATGGAAATAAATGCACAAATAATTAAATAAAGGTTGATCATGGAACAGGACATAAATAAATATTTTTTAAAAACCCTTTTTTGATTTGCACACTTATTTTATTTATTATTTGTTCATCAATTTATTTCTGTATTTATGTCAGCATTTATTTCATTAGTTTATTTATTAAATTTATTTCCATATCTATTTATTTGCATTTTTCTTTATACATATCTATTCATTGATACTTGCGTCATTATTGGCCCTCCATACGGTTGCACCTATCGTGACTGAAATACTAAAAAAGTGAGTTCAAAACAGCAAGAAAATGAGAATCAGTACATTTATTAACAGCAAATTCATTATGTGTTATTTATACTTGACAGTATGAATTTCATCTTTAAGTTTGTCACTTCAGTAACTGTCTCAACTGAACATAAGTCTATTATGGCTAAAATAACCATTGCATTGTATCAGGCAGACGTTTGATACTGGTCCCAATACTGACTACATGTTTTTAAGCATTTCATGTCTGACACTGGTAACTTAACCTTGTGGCCCCCTGTCGCTGATGTATGTTGGAATACAGGTGTGTGAACCACCAGACTGTCATCGGTGCTACCCCGCTTTACCTGGCCTGCCAGGAAGGCCACCTGCATGTTGTCGAGTACCTTGTGAACAGCTCCGGGGCTGACGTCCACCTGACGGCCCACGATGGCATGACCTGCCTGCACGCTGCTGCTCACATGGGCCACCAGACTGTGGTGATGTGGCTGGTCAGTAGAGAAGTGTTTCCTGGATATATTTGTGTTCTACTGAATCACCACACACTTTGATCCTTTGTGCTTTTCCCCAAACAGGTGAGCCACACTGATGTCAGCCTGTCCTGCCAGGACAGAGAAGGAGCGACTGCGCTGCACTTTGCCGCCAGCAGAGGGCACTATTGTATCTTGGAGAGGCTGCTTCATATGGGTTCAAAGGTGATCAAGGATTACTGGGGAGGGACCCCGCTTCATGATGCTGCAGAGAATGGAGAGCTGGAGGTTAGACAGCAGTTTGCTCTTGTTGTTTTTGTCTTGTCTAAATAAACTAAACAGAATGAATGAAACAATATTTTCTTGGTATCTTGGTCTGTTACACTGTCCTGTTCCCTCTTCCAGTGCTGTAAAATCTTGTTGGCCTATCAAGCAAAGCCTTCAGACCAAGACATTGATGGATTCACTGCTGCAGACCTGGCAGAGTACAATGGACACCACGAATGTGCCAGATATCTCTGTGCCATGGAGAAAAATGTAAGCCGTCTGTCTCTCACCGACAGTATTTTTCCTGATCTTACACATTTTCCTGCTCTGTGTCCTCTCTCTCTGTGTCCGCACTGCCCAGCTGTTTATTCTGGCAGGAAAATCAAAGCTAATTCCCGGTCAACAGCAAACATCTGGAGGATCTCGGAACCTCGGTGAATCATTTTCTCAATTTGCATTTCATGCTGGTCAAGCCTGTCCTTCTCCGGCGCTGTTGTCTTCCACTCAGCCTGATTGCTCTCAGTTTAAGAGGTCTAAGAAAGTGGAGGATGAGGGCTTTCATGTTTAATAAGGCATTACAGGCGATGGTGCCGTGAGTGCTGGAGGAGACTCTTGGTTCTCATTTTGCCACTGAGGACTCTCTGAGATTAGACTCTTTTGTTTTGCACAGAAAGCACGACACTCCTTAATGTGACTGATGATGAATATTTTAGTGTTAACACATTGTTTGTGCTTATGTTGCCTGCTGAAGTCAGGGGTCATTGTGGTTAAAACTGCCCTGCTTCAACTCAAATGAAACAGTTTACTGTGTGCAGCATCTTGCTTTATTTGTTTTTCTTTTGAATAGCTACATAACAGTGAGGTTTGGAGGATTACAGTTGGTACTGACACTTAAAATTGGACTTGTGGAGTTGATTTAAATAGAGAACAGATTATACTCTTAACTCAAAGAGCCTATGGGGACCACTCTGTCAGCAGACTTGTTGAACCTTAAAGCCTCACAGCTGTCCACCTGCAGCCTGTCCTTGTTTCTCCCCATCACACTTCACTTACCGCCTATGGTGCAGACAACACAGCGACGTACACAGAGTAATGAAAGCTGTCGGGCCCGATAGATGCCATTAATAAGTCAGCAGAGAAGAGCAGCACTCATACATAAAGAGGATGATGATAGGGAGCCGTTGAGGCGTGGCTGCTGAGCTCCCCTTCAGAAATAATCCTCCCAGCAACAATGGAGAGCTAATTAGCACAGGGGCCGCAGCGACGTCGAACGCAGCCGGAGCTGCCGCCAGCTAAGGGCCTATCAGTTACCCCTCTCCAGCGGCTCAGGTGGAGGGCCCAGGGGCTGAGCCCGTTATGAGATCCACAAGCTTAAGTTTCAGCGTTTTCACCATTCTGATGCCTGGAACAGGCAACTCTATCCCTCTGTGGACTGGAAGAGCAGGATGTCACTGTCTTCAAACACACGTTTGATTGTGTGTCATGTTTTTTTTTTCCAGGGACTTGGAAGTGCTATGATTGTCACCTCTGGATACTGTGTAATGTTGGTAGCAGACAGAATGATGTATCAGGTGTCTTGGACAGACAGACTGATGTGAACAAAGGGATGATCTGATAGAGAACCTGAAATAGTAGTTAATTGATTTAAATCATCATGATATTTGCAGAGCAGAATGTGTAATGCTTTGAAACCTCCCGTGCCAGAGATGAGCTGCACAAGCTTTAATTACATTTCTGGTGGTGTGTTAGTTTTGTAAAGTGCTGCTTGGATCACGGGTTTCATCGGTTCTAAAGTGTCAGTCAGATAATCTCATTTCCGAGCAGCGACCTAAATGGATTGGGACGTTGACCGGGGAGAGCTGTGTGTTTGGCCTCTCTGCATGTTTGGATCACTCACAACGAGGTCAGACTTGTTCAGCGCTGTCAACCGCTCTTCCTCATCTCGCATCTCAGGAACAGCTGCAATCAAATAAACAGTGTGTGGCGTGAGGTTTACTTCACACACATTTATGGCTTTTGCTCTCCATTCACAGTGATCGGGCCGCAGAGATACGGCTGTTTCAGAATGGTATTTTTAGAATAGTTGGGAAAAGGAAACACTTTGTGGTCTAATTCATCACTGTGATTTCGTCAGGAACTACTCATCTTCTGCATTTAGAAACAAAACACATTCTTTAATGGCTTTTGTTTTATTTCTTGGTAAAATATCTAATCAACACTTCATCGGATAAACTCATTGTGTTCCTGATTTTGTCAGAAATAAAATTATCTGACGAAACGCTTCTTCCGAAGTCCTCCATCCTCTTTCACATCAGGTCTCTTGACCTGTCTGAATCTCACAGAGCTTGGCTGCATCACAGTTGCATGTGTATCACAGATGGTTGAGATATTTACAGAACTGTAAAATCTACATCCTATCCCCAAACGCCCTGTAACACTCTCTGCAGATTCAACTTTAAAGTATGTAATGCCAAGGTGTTAAAATCCAACAATAGCTGTGGACAGGTTGTCTGCAGGTTCTTAAACGTCTTAAATTGCCTTAAGTTTTAGAAATGTTAGACCTTAAAAGTCATTAAATAGTCTCAAATTTTAATTTGTGAGGTCACAATCTAATTTTATTTATCCAATTACTTTATTTTTTCATGCTTTTGCCTTTAATTAACAGGAGAGAGTGAAATGGGGGAGTGAGAGAGAGTGGGGGGAGCAAATGGTCGCGAGCTGGAGTCGAACCCACAAGCACTGCAGCGAGGCAACACCTCTGTATATGGGGCGTCGGCACTAGCCACTACTCTACCGACACTTCTTATCCAATTATTCATTGTATTTTTAGTCTAACAAGTAAAGCTCTTCTGTGTGAAAGTCCACATTTCTGATGTCACAAATATTTCAACCTATTACTGAATCTCAAACTGTCTGTTACTGTTACTTCATACTTGCCCTCAGCTGTTGGCAAAATGTAGATTAATCTAACTCACTCTGATAATCATACTAGTACATTAAACCTACCTCTGCACGGAACAACATGTACACTACTTACCTTTGTACTTATCTGCAATGCTTTAATAAGATAAACATGACTTGTCCAAAAATTAGTCTTAAATTTGGTTTACAAAATATCTCGAAAAGGTCCTAAAGACCATTAAATTTAAGTGTCTGGTTTAAGATGAAATGCCCAAAAATTCCCAGGTCATAGCTCCTTCCAGGATTTCCAAGTATTGGTGTCATTGTTGCTGCTGTTGTCACAAAGACAACCGGATCTCTTTCTGTTTTCCTCAGATCCTGGCAACTACCAACAACATGGGACACATTTTGTTTTCCATAGTTACTTCGGTGGCTTCAGCGTCTGCCAGTTCCATTACTGGGAGTAGGAGCTGTAAACAACTTACACCGATACTCCTTGGTGACTGGGTACAACAACTGTACCGATAACGCTTTATCATGATACAGTATTATATGTCTATCACGACGATACAGTTTTGTTTTGATTAAAATTTAATTTGTCTGCAATTGGTATGAAACAATATCAGTATATACCTTTACTGTCTTTTTCTGGGCTGCTTAGCATTTTTTGACATGAATGGGCCATGGGAATTTCAATGGTTAAACAAACATAACAAAACAACGGCACTCACTAATCCATCTTCTGTCCACAATTAAAATACAAAAGAAGATGGATTATTGAGTGCCGTTGTTTTGTTATGTTTGTTTAGCCTTGATCGCAACTGTGCACCCGACATTATCTTGAAATTTTGAGTTGTTCGCACTGTTTCTAAGTACCAACTTCAATGGTTGACTGTAGGGCTGCAACTAACGATTATTTTCATCGTCGACTAATCTGTCGATTATTTCTTCGATTAGTCGACTAATCATTTTATCAAAAAAATTGTTAAAATGTTGAAAAATGTCAGTCTGTCCCTCCCAAACCCCAAAATTATGTCATCTAATGTCTTGTTTTGTACTCACGCCAAAGGGTTTTAGTTCACCGTCATGAGAGAGTGTGTAAAGCTGACAAAATTTGAATGTAAGAAGCTGCAATAGGAGTATTTTGGGATACTTTTGTAGTTCCTTTCTATGAAAAATGACTCAAACCGATTAGTCGACTTCTACAATAGTCACCGATTATTTTAATAGTGGATTAGTCATCAATTAGTTGACTAATCATTGCAGCCCTAGTTGACACACTCTTTTGCCCCATCAATCGAGTCTTCATCCTACCTGTTGGCAGACAGAGTTGAACGGTGAAAGCAAGGCTCATAGGGAGCCAAACTAAACATCAGTTGTGTTATTTTTCTACAGTCAGCATATTATGCAATCAACATTTATTTCATAATGACAAGTTAAAGCAAAAAAAAGGTCTATTTCCACTTCAAAGCAAATATATTTGAGTTGTAAAATGTCGGTTGGACGAAACAACCAATATTAATTTGTCAACTTGGGCTTTGGTAATTGTGATGGCCGATCATCTCAGGTTCATTTTACGGCCACCATCAAAAAAAGCTTGACGGGGCACCTGGTGGCTCAGTGGGTAAAGCTGGCACACGCAGTGGCTGCATGCCGGATTCCAGCCTGTGGCCCTTTGCTGCATATCATCCCCTTTCCCTCCCTCCTTCATGCTCAAAGTGTCCCATCTAATGAGGGCAAAAGGGCCAAAAAATAATCTTAAAAAACTTAGCTCCTTCTGCCTCAGGTGTGGATATAAGCTGCTTTTTTTGTCATTGTCTTGTACGATATTTAACCAGATATCTTTGTAAATTTTGGTCTGGCAAAACAACCGATTTTAATAAGTCAGCCTGGGCTTTGGGAAATTGTGATTGGCATTTTTTACATTTTTTTTTTTGACATTTTAGAGACTAATAATTAATCAAGAGAATCATTGATTAATCGATTGTGGCAATAATTGGTAGTTGCAGCCAGCAAGAATACTGAAATACATATGTTTTTATCAGGAAATTGGTGAATTAGTGTTTGGAAAATGTAGGCGCCATTTTCCTTGGCACGTTGTTATTTGTTGTCGGCGTTTCCACATCAAGTCAAACCCATCTATCTAAGCTTATGGTATCACATTGTGTTTCCACTGTCACAGTTTACTGATCATCTCAGGTTGATTTTACGGCCACCCCCACAAAAAAACCCTGATGAATTAGTTCCTCCGTTCAATTGTTCCAAGTGGAAAAAGCACCTGAACGCGCATGGATAAAATGTCTCTTTTCCAGCTGCTTTGACAAGTCTTCCGCTGATACCTCCCTTCGTGCCACAACATGGCCATTGGTTTGTCCATGCATTAGTGACATTACCGGCCACCCTATCCTTTCCCTTAATTATTAACAGCATTCTCCGATCAGAGTTTTTGTTTATTACCTGGTGGCCCTTGGCCACTGGCAGAGATGCTGATGATGGTGTCAAACGAGTGGTTGGTGATCTTACGATAGTGTCACATCCTCAACACGGAGCGACCGCTGCGGATACCTGGCTGCGTGACTCTGTGCTTCCGGAGTCTCACTGTGAAGTGAAGACGTTCCTGTGTGCACTGGGAGGATTGTTGAAGGTCAGTGGGGCTGGTTTGTAGATCATTTTCTCTTTTAGTTGTACTCTCTGTACTGCTTTGGCCTGTTTTTGCTCCTCCCTGTGCTTTGTGACATTATTTTTCATTGAGTATTTGTTCATAAGTAGGTGACTGGACAGGCTGAGTAATTAGTTTTGTAAAACGAAAGGAAAGTTTTGCAATTTCTGTTAAAGAGGCCCTCGCTGACAGATGTGTTGGCAGCATTTGACCTACTTTCTGATCAGTTGTGGCCTCTTACGGTTAGGTATGACTAATACTCCAGGCTTGTGACATTACAATATGTTGTCATTGTTGATTTTGTGCAAATTGAACATGATTTTTCTTCCTTGTTTTGAACCATGTGCTGTGTCTTGATGTAGTTTTCTGATCCAGTAGTTGTTAAAATGTTTCAGTGTGATGTAGACAAATATTGTCATTAGTCTTGTTTATCACAGTGGATGCATAAAAGCTGTAAATGTTGGCAAAAACATCATGTCTGTCACTTGTTAGCCTCTCAAACATTTACCTCCTTGCGGGAAACCTGAGAGTATTTTAACATGTGAGCAGACATGTATTTACACTATAGTGTTCTGTGTATAATGTACACCCGCTGTATACATTCCACGTTGCAATTTATCACCAAGAACGTGAATATTTCACATGGAAGCAGGTTGTTTTCATGATCGACTCCAGAATTACAAGACATGTTTTTTAAATACACATGCTTAAACTCTCTCATGGCTCAACCCGCAGGGACCACAGATTACTGCTGCTGCATGTCCGACAGTGAGACAGCACCGAGTAGCTGTTTCCTAACTCTTGGCTCCTAATCTGTAGTGATCGGGCTCTTTGTGCTCTTTGATAGAGAGAGAGTGGATCCAGGCCAAAACAGGGCTAGGCTATCTATATATCTGCGTGGCAATTGTGATGGGGTGCTGATGAAAACCAAATGCTCTTTGGCCACTGGGTCTAATTAAACACACACACGGACCGGTTCATCATAGCTTTTAGGACATTGAACTGTTACAAGAAGGGTCACAAAAGAATCAGGCTCTCCCCTTCCCATTTTCCCAGCCCCCCTTGTTTATCTATTTATGGATTGCACAACTTCGGGGAAGTTGATTCCTCCGCCTGAGCAGTGTCACAGCATATTTCGTGCTGTTGGACATCAAAGTGCCGTGTGAGAGGAAATGGCAAGGACCACCTCACGGACAAAAAGCACAACAGCATGCAGCAGCATATTAGGGCTGCCTTTGATGTTTTGGTTACTAATAATGTCCTTGGAGAGCTGAATTTGATATGCATTCTGCATGGAGTGCATTAAGACAATGCAGGTTCATTAAAGGGGATCTAAATGTTTCCATACATCCTACATCCTCCCTAGAGTGGTGTGAAATGCTGCCAATTATTCAAGGTTGCTTACTATCCCATGCGCTTGTTTTTTCTTTCTCTTTGTCTTTTAAAGTGCATGTCCTCAGGCTTTAAAATGTTTTGATGTGTTCCTATCAATCTAGACATTAAGTGCTTTTAATTAGCTTGTTTCTTACAATAATTATTTTTTTAGACCTGTAGAAAACAATCCAAACAAATCTCACACCACATTTTGCAAAAAGTATCACAACTCGAAAGGTTTGAAAAATTCACACGTATCAACTCGGAGGAACTGATACCGTAAAAACAATCAGTCCACCCATCACTAGTACAAAACCAAATTATTGCCCTTACATTTCCTCCATTGAGAAATATTGTGTCTTTGACAATGCATGAAAGGGATCTAGCCTTCCTCAGGTATTTTACTCCTGAAAACAAACCAAAAATGTCACTTTTTGTCACTCGACTCTTTTTACATTTATGTCGAACTGTCACAGAAGAACTACAGTTCTATTCCAGAAGTAAGATTACATTTAGTGTTCAGAAAAAAACAGTCAAAATGTAAAAAATCTATAAATCTGTTTCTGTTGTGTGTCAGTGCGATTGTATGAAAACATGCAGAGATACAAAACCTTTGACTCCATAGTCAGTATGACGTAGGGCATTAACGACTTTGATTTTTTTCAGGTCGACTTATCTGTCAATAAAGTCGAAGTCGAGTCGACAAGTCATTTGATGACGTCATCACATTGACACGGCGGAGGAAAGTGAAGTATCTCCACGCATGTGATGTGTGTCTGTCAAGGCCTGAACATACGCGGAACGGACTCTGCGGAGGTCCGCGCGGACTCAAAGCGGACGTCCGCTAGCCCTGTGCGCGCAAAGCTCAGATTTTATGACCGCGTGGACTCCGCTCCACGCACCAGTGACTGCTCCACATGTATTTTTCATATTGCAGGGATTTTTCACGGACATTTTTACAGGAAAGTACAACACGGAAGCGCGCTCGACTATGAAAGCCCGAATGACTGGAGTCTGCTCAGCTTATAGTGCACCCGAGTATGTTCACTTTAGTCAAGGATAAAGTATCAGTGTGGCAGCAATTGCATTCCGTACATAAGCACACACACAGAAAGAGAGGGAAAAAACACACGACTTGTCGACTCCTCCCAGGGGGTGTCGACTTGTGCCACTGACGTCAACACGTCGACAAATCGACTTTTCTGTTAATGCCTTAGTATGACGTCACATGTAAAGAGACAAACAACATTTTTGTTACCTAGAGTTTACTGAAAAATAGATGCAGAAAGAGTTGGAGGAGCATTTGTGATGTTGAGATGTTTAAATCATAGTTGGGAAAATCTGTGAGGGTATAATCTAACTGTCATATTGGACAATGTGAGGTTTGATCAATATCAACAGTCTCTCCTTCACAAAAGTGACATTGTTTAACTGTGGTGCTGGAAAATTCACAACAGAAAAGTCATGTCACATTCAGACATCACAGTAGTCATGCCATGGTTGGATTTGTCACAAAGTCTTTATCTGAGGTGTCTGAATGTAACAATACAGATGGTGCGATTTGATCCGATGTCAGTGACAGGACAGATATGGATCAGTAAACTGTGAAAACCCATTTCTGCCAATGTGAGGAAAACAAAACATCCTGTGAGTCATCATAATGAAAAGTCTTTAATGAAATAATGGCTCAGTATGTGAAAATAATGAGTTAGTATCTCAAAATAACAAGTTATTATTTTGCAAAAGTTTCTCATTTGTGCAATAAGTCATTATTTTGAGATACTAAAGCCCTATTTGCACGGGACTAGTATCACCTGGGGACCTCTGGTAATTTGCAATAATTGAAGAGGTCGTCTGTGATCTTAATACCGTGCGAATCTGCCATGTCCATAAAAATTCCACAGCATCAAACATGAAGATGCTTCTGCTTTTATGTCTGGAACCTCCTGTCTACAACTGGCTTGAGACACATCCTCCGTGAGGACTTGGCTCAGAGTCCAGAGTTACTCTCTTATCCTGAAGCCTCCTTAAGGAATCTGATCCTGTTTGATTTGGTGGTGGGAACTGCTTTTGACCACATGCCTTTGCTGACGTTGACGCCAGCAGGATTTGAACCCTGGACCTTCCGCATGGAAGACGAGTACTAACCACTACACTAGGGAGGCCCCATAGTGCCAAACACAAAGGGTTGATATTAGTCCTGTGCAAACCAGCATCTCTGTGATTTGGGGTTTTATTTAGGTTCTCTCTCTTCTGTCTCTTTCCCAGTCGAGAATTACGAAGGCTGCATTGGCAATTTAAATGTTTTGACAGCATTTTGGGTGCAGCAGGGTCATCTCGCTACACAGCATGGAAACCCATTTGCAGAAAGGACAAGCTCAAATCTATCAGAGGAGCAAAATCTCGAAAGATGATGAGATGAATGACGTGACAATGTGTGGCAGAATCTGTTCTGTTCGTTTAACCCATATTGAATTTTTAAAAAAAAGATCAAATGTGTGTCAAATAGAAGGGATTTGCTTATCCTGTGCAAATGCGAATACAGTTTTGATCATTAGTTTAGTTCATCTGCCCTTCTCAAAGTGTGAAATGACCTACTGCTGTCTTAAGATAGAGGTAAATGTGCCATTTTAATACTATTAGACCTCAATGTGGCCTTTGACACTGTTGATTATTGTATATTATTAAACTGTCTTCAAGAACTGGTTGGCATCCAGGAAACTGCCCTGAAGTGGTTTGTCTCCTATTTATTGGACAGGTCTTTTTCTGTTAAGATTGGTGGCCTCTCCTCCTCATCTGCCCGTATCACTTGTGGTGTACCTCAAGGTTCCATCTTAGGGCCCATTTTATTTGCACTGTACTTGCTGCTGCCTAGGCTGCATTTTCTACCAGCACAAAATCTCTTGTTACTGTTATGCTGACGACACACAAGTTTATCTTCCATCAAACCCAGGGGATTCTTGCGCCATCACATCCATCCATCCAAGTTCTATATTTGATATTATTTGTTCTTCAGAAGTCTTCAACAGTATTAAGTGTGACTCTGTGACATTTGCAGAAAGCCTGTGCAGATAAGCCCATCGAGGTAATCACACCAGTGGAGGAAGAAGTGAAGGTGAAGCCTGCTTTGTTGTCACAGTGCAGCAGGGAGGACTACTACGGCAGCCTGAGCGACACATGCAGGGACAGTTACAGCACTAACACACCCATGGATAGTTTAAAGGTAAATGTTGAATGTAGCTTCTCACCATGTTTTCCATTCACCTTTTCCTTGTATATAACCCAAAGCAACCAGGCCATGTCTCTTTTTTCCCCAACTAGCAACCTGAGAGTGAGGAGTCCCCGCAGGCGAGATACCCTCAGCCCCTGTCTGCACCTCCTTTACCTTCTGCTTCATCCACACCCACCCAGCCAGAGAGAAGTGCCGTCAACAGGATAGAGGAGGTTCACATCGCAACATCTGGTGAGAAAAACATTTCTGTTAATCATATTTTATCCCAGTTTAATCATTCTTTTTTACCAAAAATGTTTATTATTACTACTTTTTGGTTACTGGAAGTCACCACTCATTGGAGAAAAATGTCTGTGTGTTCATCGGTGTGAATAATACAAAGACTTTTTTTTTTGTATTCTAGTTCTTAAAGGTTTCAATCAATCCAAGGCCACTGGGAGTGAAAAAACTGCCTCTGCTGATAAAGTGATGTTGCCTGATGCAAACCTCCTGGCTGAAAGAAAACTCCTTGGTGACATGAAGTCCATTAAATCCTTAAAACAATCAGGAATATCAGGAGTCTTCACCGGACAAGCAGTAAGTGCAGTAAGCTTTCTCGCTGTGCACATCCTTCCTTTGTAAGAGCTTCTGTCTTTTGCTAAAACACAGTGTCTGTTCAGAACAAGATGGTGGTTCTGCCCACTGAGGAGGCCAACCTGTCGGACATCGACTACCTGGTGCCCACTCACGATGAGAGAGGCCGTCCCATCGCTGAGTGGAAGAGGCAAGTCATGGTGAGACAGCTTCAGGCCAGGCTGCTGGATGAGGAGGATCAGAGGAGGAAGGTAACTTCTCTCTGAAGATTGAGCATTATTAATTCACTTACATTTATACCCTCGTCTGAATCTTACAAATTTGGTCCAACAGATATAGGTTTTTTTAATCAAGAAAGCCAAACTTAACCTTTTTTCTTTTAAATGTGGGTTAAACAAACAGGACTGATTCTGCCACACACTGTTACATGTTATCTGTCTAATCATCTTTTGAGATTTTGCTCTTGTGATTGACTTGAGTTACTTTTTTTTCTGCAAATTGATCTCCATGCTGTGTAGTGCGATGAGCCTACTGCACTCAAAATGCTGTCAAAACTTTGAGTTATGATTGCCAATGCAGCCTCTGTAATTCCCAACTGGGGCAGACGCAGAAAAAAGGCTCAGAGAATCAAAAAAAGGTAACACAACAAAAAATGGTAGGTGAGATGCGGTGGAATTTTTACTTGACAAATTGCAGACATGGCAGATTTGCACAGGATCAAGATCTCCAACAACTTCTGCAATTATTACAAACCACAAGAGGTCCCTAGGTGATACTAGTCCCATGCAGATAGGCCTTTCAGAGATATAGGGCATGTCTCTGCATCAGCACGGCCCATTTTCCCCCTTATTTTATGTGGATAGTTTTAGTGTATTTTGACAACTTTTTCAGGTTTCCAAAGCCAAAACAATTAGTCATTAATCACTGAGTCGATCGATGGCAACTATCAGCAGTGGCAACCATTTTGAAAATTGATTAATCATTTGCAGCCCTAGAAAAGTCAGGTATATGTTGTACAGCCTCTTCTAAGCAAATGATCATTAAGCCTCACCAGACCACACAGAGCAAAGCGAAAACTGTGGTCTAATTTTGTGATGCTCTTCTAAATGTGCATCACTGAAAATTCTAAAAAAACATTTGGAAATCCCATCATCATTTACTTTTAATTGCATGTAACAAATCACTGAACACATAACACATTGCTCGTCAAGTCATATATCTGAGGTTTGGATGGCAGTTTTACTGTATCATTACTCTTTCCCTCTCACGCCTAAGTAATTTGAATTGTAAAAAAAAAAAGAAGCTGACATCCTGTGTGTTTATCTGCCTGCTGTTGCCTCTTCTCTTACAGGAAAATGGGAACAGATACGCCAAAGTCAGCTGGAGGTACTCCCAAGCCCACAATGCAATCCTGGGGCCCTCTGGTGAGCTGCTGACTGAGGATGACCTCATCTATGTGGAGCAGCAGATTGCCAACGTCTCCATGCAGAGGAACTGTGAGGGCTACGAGCTGGAGCTCGCTCGTCTGGCTGAGGAGCTCCGGCACATCCTGCCAGCCCCCATAGTGAACATCACCGCCAACACACAGTTCAGAAACTTCTCAAGTCAGGTTCCTCTACCTTTGTGGTGCGGCCGCATCTCAGGCATCGTGAAGAGCATGTCTCTGCTCATGACCAACCTGACGGACCAGCCCTACTGCAAGATGCCCAACACCGACCTGATCACTGTGTTCTCTCAGACGCCACACAGACAGAACTCCACCAGGGGACGCAGGGAGAGGATAGAGGATGAAATCCATCATTTCGGAGTGTCTGTGAGGACTCTGAAGTCTAATTTTGATACACAGAACTTACCTTTGTCAGATGAGCCAGAGGAGGCTGTCGTGTTGAGTTCTTCCCCGCAACTCGAGGCCACAGAGTCAGACAAACAGCCTAAAGTCTTGAGTCCGGCCCCAGAAACAGACCAGAACAGTGACTCTGGCATCGACTATGATGAAAACGTTACAGATGTCCTAGAGACCACCAGCCTCAGGAAGGAGCGTATAGTCGTGTTGTTCTTAGGCCACTGGAAGAAGTCTGCCTACACTGTGACACTGAAGAGCAAAGATGCAGCGGAGAGGAAGATGAGCAGTGGAAGCTCGGGGATGGGCGATGACAAATCTGTGGCAGATCGCAGGAACAGTGTGGAGAGCGCCCAGTCGAAGATGATGAACAGCTCTCTGGGTCATTTCTTCAAGCAGAGGAGTGCTGTCAACAAGATGCTGGGAAACTGGAGGAGCATGATCTCCAGCGTCCCGTCCAGACAGATTCGCAGGTATCTATCATTACTATCATCCATGTTAGAGCACAAAACTCCACCTGCATGACTCATTATGCAAGTTTCATTTGTCAAAAAAAATCAAGTCTGTACTACAGCAGCCCTGGTTCGAGTCATGCCCTTTGTTGCATGTCTGCAGGTCAGAAAATCAGATTATCACTGAGGTGATTGGGAAGAGAAAAATGCTAAGCTTCTAGTCTTTAGTCTCAGCCTTGTGTTAATATATAATGAGTCACCCTTTGCTGTTATCCACAGGCTCCACAGGCAGAAAGCCCTCTACTCCCCGGAGCAGTTCCTGCCTCGTCTGGAGGGAGTGTTGGTGGAGTACGACAACCTGACCCTGGATCTCTTCATGCTGGGCTACTTCCACATCCTGGAGTTGGAGCTGCCTGTGGACGAACGCAAAATGAGACACCTGCTCTGCTTCGAGGTGTTCGACCACGTGGGGAGCTTCCCCTGGGAGCTGGTCAGGGACTTCCACAAGGCCGTCATACAAGACATCGAGACTGGAAACCGTGAGTGGAAGGATGGCTTTGAGGACATTAAAGTGAAGTTCTTTGGAAACACTGTGAGTCAGTCTGAAAGCCCTGTAGAGGTGGTGAAACATACCCTCCCAGAGATTAGACAGGTCCCTAAGGTAATTGTGCAGACACCTACGCCAGATGAGGGGATGCTACACGGTGGAACTGACATCTCCAGTTTTAGCAACGAAGAAATCTGTAAATACATTGACCGTAGTTTTGCTTTTTGGAAAGAGAAGGAGGCAGAGATTTTTGATTTTGAGTAGTGTCATCTTTTTGATATTTTTGTATTGTTTGAAGTTAGATTACATTTGGGCTGGGTATCAAACCTAAATGCTGTTTGAGTTGTGAATTGAATTGTTGTGGTGAAAGCTAGTGCAGAATGCTTAGCCAGATTCATAGCCATGTTTACATATTTGATTTGAATGATTGTTTTGTAAATTTTATACTGTATTTTATTGTGTTAAACCATTAAACTCACTAAAATTTGAAAAGGATTTTTATGTTTCTACATAGCAATATTTTGTAGATATTTTTGGTACAGCTATTAGAACTTAAGTATCGAATTTGAACCATACCCAGCCCTATAACAAAAGCCAGAGTGCCTGAAGTGTTAGTATGTGTTTCTGAGAGTAAAAACTAACTGATAAGATTCACTGACATTACATCTTCTTTTCATTTCTCACGTTTTCAAGGCAATTTTAATCAAACCGCACATCTCTTAAAGGAACATTTCACTGCAAAATCAAAATCCTATTACCTGTTGTGCTCTTTATCAGTCTAGATTGTTTTGGTGTGTGTAGCTGAGTATTGGAGATATCAGCTGGAGAGATGTCTGCCTTCTCTCTATTACAATGGAACTAAATGACACTCGGCTTGTGGTGCCAAAAGAACACATCTGAAAAACTCAACAGCAATGTCTCTTTCCAAAAATCATGACCCGGTTTCTCAAGATAATCCACAGACCTTGTTGTGAGCAGTTTCTTGTACGAACTATTTCCTTGGGAGCAGGAACATATTTTGGCTAAGGGTTGCTACACTGTGTAAATGTGCAACCTGCACACTTACAGGAGCTACAGGAAAACTGCTCAGATGTACTTACATCAGCCAGGAGTCCAATGGATGTGTGCTCCCTCGCCTCAGACACAAATTCTCCCTGGACTGCATGTGTACATCCAGTTGTCTGCTCACTGAAGTCACTTACAACTCCTGGGGAAATCATGACATTACAATTGCTCGTTGTCTGCTCCATCATAATCTGTCATAAAACTCAGTCCTGATGGCTTTGCTCCCCTAAAAAGCAGCTCCAAAACTTCCTGGTCTTTCTTAGCCTGTTTACACTATTGATTAGCTCCCACTATCGCACCTTCCAGCACCCATACTTTCTATGAAGCTACACTCGCCAACCATATCACTGCACAAAAGGAAGCATGCATCTACTCATGGACGAGAGGCTCATACTGTAGGTAAACATTTATGGTGTCCTCCTCAGCTCAGCTGTAACATTAGCTAGCTCGGTGATGCTAGGTGGGCTAGCAGTAGATGTACACTTCCTTCTGCGCAGTGATACGGTTGGTGGGTGTAGTTTGATAGAAAGAAAAAAGTTCCTACGTGAAACTCCTCAAAAACAAAGTTTGTGGATTATTTTGAGTGATTTCTAGAAAGAGACATCACTGCTGATTTTGAGTTCAAATGTATGATTTGTGTCGCTTTGAGCACCACAAGCTGAGTGACACCTACTGCAGTGGCTCCCAACTGGTCCGGCCACGGGGTCCAGGTTTCTCCTTAGTCAGTTCAAGGTCCACACAGTGTTACACATTCAATGTCATACTTGCATTTGGCCATGTGTTCAGACTAGTCTGCTGTCTCTGTCAAGCAGCTGTCTGCTAGTCACTCACTCTACAGCAGGAAACGGCACTTCAAAATAAAAGCTTTGTGCCAGAAACTTACTGTACTTAAAAATGAAGTGTGTTTTTTACAAACTTGACACATTTGCAAGTCACTTGCGGTCCATTCAGAATGGACCTGCGACCCACTTTTGGACCACAACCCATCAGTTGGGAACCAGCGATCTAATTCCATTATAATTGAGAGAAGGCAGACATCTCTAGAGTAGATATCTCCAACACTCGGCAACTCACACCAAAACAATCTAGACTGATAAATAGCACCACAGGTAAAAGGAAAAATATGTATTTTTAGTTTGGGGGTGAACTGGACCTTTAACATCTACATAGACACCCAGCACTTTGCCCTGCATAGTGACAGCTATTATTGATCAATTATTGTGACATACAAAAAAAGTTGGTGTTACGTCAGTTACCTCATCTGCTCACTCTCAGGCCTGTTGAGAATAATATGTGCCTGTAACAGCAGCTGTGGGCTCCATACTTGTTGTTTGGAATCTGACTTCAGCCCAGCGTCACTCTCAGTCCTATAAATAACTGAAAGACAGGCAGCCTGTCCCAATGACTTGGCAAAAGCTTTTCGCCATGCTGCCCACTCCATGTTGATCTAACCAGCCGCTCAGCTGCAAACAGCTTTTTTACTGGAAGGATGAGCCATTGTTTCCATGCTCTGCTCCTGTGGTGAGTTTGTTGTTGGTTTCTTATTTAATTTTACAATGTTTGATGACAGGAAATGTAATTTATTGTTGGCTTCAGAGGAGATTAGAGTCATGCTGTTACAGTATATTGTATAAATCACGAGCCAGAAGTACTTTGTAGTCCTTGTAACAACACAGTGATGCAACACTTAAGAAAACAAGGCACTTTTTATTTTATTTAGGTCACAGAGGAGAAACTGTTTTCTAACTCACTGGTTCTCAACATTGTTTTGTGTTGAGAACCCCTGAATTGATACACACTAGGTCATGGACCCCTGTTTGATAAGATTTTGCCTCGAGGACCTCCATCTGAAAAGATTTTGGTTGTTAGATATGATTGAAAACCAGAATGATTAAGACCAGAATTCTATAATTGTCAATTACATTTGAGGAGATGACCGTGGACGCTGTGAAACCTGATCAGAACAGTCACCCATATGACTCTCACTCACACTGGGCTCACCTCTATATTGAATTAGATAGTGAAAAACAATATTCCCCATTTTTCTGGGGACTCCTGGGAGTTTGCTGAAGGGCCCCTGGTTGAGAACCACTGATCTAACTAAGCTCTAAACTTTAGACTCAAAATTACAAAAACACATTTTATCATTCAGTATAAAAACAAAATAATTGTCATACAATGTTTTGTTCACTGTGCACTGTTCCTGTTACACCAGCTTTTCCTGAAGGTGTAGTATCTCTGTATGACGCAATCCTGTTATCAGGGCTGCACAATTTTAAATACAGCACAGCAATTTCACAATTAGATTTTTCCAGGCCTAAAAAAGTCTTAGAATTTGTCAAAATCATTAAAAGTTTTGGAAAAGTCTTGGGATGTAACATAACAGCAGATATATTATCTGTAGCTCTCGATTTAACATAGCTTTAATATGTATCAATGTGTGAAGTTTTGTTTGCTAAACATATGTTTCATAATTATCTATCTGGGTTCTCACTTCCTGTACGTCAACTCACTGACATCATGTCTGAATGGAGTTGGTATCTGAGATGTTTGACAAACCCCGAGCAAGTAGGGAAAAAAAAATAAAAATATCAAGGGTCCTTGAAAAGTCGTGTAAAAGTTTATGTGGGAAATAATTTTGAGATAAGATTATTAACTTCTTAGTAAAGTTATTGCTAATCTTTTCTGAAAAACAAACATTGTTTAGACATGTCTTAATGTATTTTGTTCTACACTTGCAGGTAAGCTTTAAACTCACGTTTTCCCTGCCAAAGGACAATTTGACCTACTTTGTTGACCATGGTGCGCAATGTGGATGACCTGGACTTCTGCCTGTCCTCCCACCCTCAGAGCATCCTGGAGGGCCTGCGCTCCCTCTGCTCTCACCCCAAACTGGTGGATGTAACATTAAGCGCGGGTGGCCGGGACTTCCCCTGTCACCGCGGCGTGTTGGCCCTCTGCAGCGCGTACTTCCGCTCCATGTTCTCAGGGGACTTTGTGGAGAGCATAGCTGCACGTGTGGAGCTTCGTGACGTTGATCCTGATATACTCAGCTGCTTGCTGGACTTTGCATACACAGGCAAACTGACCATCAACCAGAGCAATGTGGAGGGGCTGATCTGCACCTCCAGCCAGCTGCAGTTCCAGACGGTGAGAGCCGTGTGCAGCCGATACCTTCAGCACCAGATCGATGCGACCAACTGCCTGGGAATACTGGAGTTTGGGGCGATCCATGGGTGCCCTGAGGTGATGGCCAAAGCGTGGGCCTTCCTCTTGGAGAACTTTGAGGCTGTGCAGCAAGGTGAGGAGTTCCTACTGCTGGGAAAGGAGAGATTGGTCGCCTGCCTGTCCGACGAAGGACTACAAATCCGGACAGAGTGCACCCGCGTAGAGGCCATCCTGAAATGGGTCAGGCACCACAAGGAGTCTCGGCTCTGCCACCTCCCTGAAATCCTCACCTTATCCCGTCTCCATCTACTCAGCCTGGACTACCTGGCTGACACCCTGCTGAAGGACAGCCTGGTGCAGGCCTCTCCCAGCTGCAGAGAGACTGTGGACAAAATACACAGAGAGGTTAGTGAGTTCACACTTCCTCCATCTTTCCTCTCTTATCTTTGTTTGCACAATCTGAGCAGATTTTTCAAAACAATTGTGACTTTTATTCCTCTAGAAGCTGGATTTGGCGCCAGAACAGACGGACAGACTCAACTCTCAGAGTCCACAACCAAACCTGCAAGAGGTGCTGCTGGTGATGGGAGGACGTTCACTGGATGACTCAGATGATGAAGACGATTCCGATGAAGAAGACAGAGACCCACGACTGCAACGACTGCTGCCCAGGAACTTTGCCTTCTACAACACAAAGACAAGTACAAACAATTTGGTTTTTTTTGCACATTTCAAAATGTCAAGTTTGTTTAAATTCAGAATCCATTTCAAGACAAAAATTTGTTGTGAAATGTTTGTCGTGTTCCTAAAAACAGTTTGGCAGCTGTGCTGCAGGTCGTTAAATGTAGTGTTGACAGAAAAACAGCTTTGCGGGAATGCGGCCTGGATATGACAGAATTGGATTGTCTTCTCAGTTCCTCAAACGAGCGTTTTATTGTGCAGAGCTGGAAGAAGGCATCCGTGTTCTGATTTTCATATGGGATGTTAACAAAAAGATTGCTGCATTTAATTTTAAGATTTCTGGTTTTACATTCAGGCATGACAACTGTAACCACAATGGTGAGAGCTGTGCCAGAAAAGTTACGTGTTCTTTAACTGTCTTGACCTAACTTTGACTTTTTCAATGAGGACATTTGTGTGTCTTTGCCTAATTTTTCTGGTATACATCTGTTATGTGCACACTGTGTTTGCGACTGAGTTTGAACTGAGTTTTTAAGGTAAAGTGTGTCAGATTAAGAGGGATTTGGTGGCGTCTCACAGTGATTGCAGATTGCATCCAGTTTAAACTTCTCCCGACCAGAATTCTTTGAGTGTTCATTGTTCAGCAGTTTTATTTTTGGGGGGCCGCATTATCCACAGACGTCTCTTCCTTTCCAAAACAAATGAACCAGGCTATTAGAACCACTAAAACACTCAATAAAACAGTT